GGAGACCACCGGAGCAGACAAGTGGCTGGGGAAGGAAAGGACTTCCTGCCGCTAAAAACAGGGAGGGGCGGGGAAGGAGGAGCTTCGGCAGCGGGGTGGCTGTGCCCAGCAGCATGGGACAAGGGATACCTGGGGGGGAGGGGGGGGGGGGGGGCTTCATTTGGTCATTGATACGGGGCGGACGGAGAGCGGGGTACGAGAGGGAGAGAAAAAAAACCAACGGGGAGCCCAGGGAGGACCCTACAAAATTATTCACAAACTCAGAGGGCTGCCCAGCAGAGATACATTCAAGGACTGGGAAATGCAGAAGCTGAAGACCCCCCCCCAATCTCTAACCCCCCCCCAAATCTCCCTCTCCCCCCCCCATTTGAGGAAGGGTGACGGAATTCGAATACGGGAGCAGGCATGGAAGGAAAAAGCAGCGACGATCCCTACGCAGCGGGCCGGGAGAGAGGAAGACGACAAGGGGGGGCTCTGTGTGTGGGGGGAAGTTGGGGGGGGGTTGTTGAAAGACCCTTGGGGTGGTGGTGGTGGGGGGGGCAGGAGGAAGAGGGGGGGGGTTCAGGCCGGGCCGGGAAAGGAATGGCGTGGTTGTCTTGGCGGTGTGGGGTAAAAATAAAGGAAATTTCGGGTGGAATAAACAGGAAACGCACTTCGAACAGGTGCAGGAGGAAGGAGGGTGGGTGGGAACAGCCCCCATTTGGGGAGGGGGGGGTCTTACTTAAGGGGAGGAGGAGGAAGAGGAGGAGATGAGGAAGCAGGCAGACCGAAGGGCGGAGATGCTTTGGGTTAACCAAGAGGGAATGAGAGAAATTCCGGCTGGGGGGGGGAGGGGGGGAAGGGGGGCCAAGGAAACCCCCCCCCCCCCCGCCCATGGCAGTAAAACAAAGTGCTACCCAGTTCCTGTCTAAGGGAGTGGGAGCCCCCTGTCCCGTCCCCCCCAAATCAAACAGAGATCGATGTGTTTCCCTCCCCAACCCCCCCCCCAAAAAAAACGGTCAGGGAAAGCTCAGCCTGGCGAGAAACACCCCTGGCCTATCCCGCCTCCCTGCCCAGAGTTAAAAGGGGAGGGTGGGGGAAGAGATAGACAAATAGTTAAAGACAACCCCCCCCCCCCAAAAAAAAACCAAAATACTCGGAGCAGCAGCC